AGTCATAGGAAGGAGCAATGGGTCCATGTGAAGTTACGCAGCGGTGTCTGCCCTGGAACGGAGGACCTAATATCCCGACGCTAGGCAAACAAGATGAGCTATCCGAAGTTTCACAGCTGTGTAATCAATTAAAGTCAGTGGCCGTTGTTACAGAACTTCATTACACAAAAGTTGGTTTGATTAAACTTCATTGGCAATTACGACTGTTTGTGAAGGTGTTTGTTTAGCTTGACGCCAGAGGAGTTAGTTAATTGAACTGGAAGTTGTAGCTCGGCCACGACTGAGATTTAAGTTCTTTCCGCTTTGTCAAACAGTTTACAAACCCTTATAATCTTTGTATGCTCACTGACACAAGCATATTACTAAAACAATTGGCTCTTGGAATAGTTGACCTAAAAGGGATTCTGTCATCATTTACTCACCCTCATGTCGTTCCGAAAATCTATGACCTTCTTGTTTTCTGGAACACAAGAGAGAATGTCCCTTTCCATAAAATGAAAGCATATTATTGTCAATGGAAGAATGAAAGTTCTACAGATTCTGAGTGGCATGAGAGTGAGTAAGCAATGACATAATTTGAATTAGTGGAAAAATTAATCAATCAAGATTTAAATAAAATTATAAAGGTGTAAAAAAACAAGAAACAACATCAACCAAAAAAATGCAGTTTTAATATGTTCCATAAAAAAATGAAATCTGTCATTTTTAATTAAACACTGAGATATGAAAGTACCCATTGAAGATGCACTGTAACATTGCATAAAATATTGTAACTTAGTTAAACTTTAGTTTTAGTTAATTGAATTGGGAGTTGCAGCTTGGTTGTGATTTTGTCTTAAGTTCTTATGAACTCTCACTCAAGAATATGAGTGGCCCTTGGTCCCCAATGGATAGTTGACCCCAAAAATGAAAATTCTGTCATTGTTTCCTCACCCTCAAGTCTTTCCAAACCTCTATGACTTTTTTTTTTATTCACAAAAGTCCTTCCAGTTTGGAATGACACGAGGGTGTGTAAACAATGGCAGAGTTTTATTTCTGGCTGAACTATCCCTTGAACCTGCATGGAAAATTAATACTGTAATTATGATAAGAGGTGTCTTCAGACGCAGTGAGCGATAAGTTAGTTGCACACCTGTAATATCCCAATAAACTGACCTCCAGTCCGACACTGGTCTCCAATAACTTCCTGGGTGCACAAGTATCTGATCTGATGGACCACAATTACCTGTTGTGCTATCTAGTGTATTTATTAAAGGTGCGAAAGTGTTAGGACGTGGCATGCGGGAAGAATTAAAATGAAGTTCTGGAGGAGTTTTGAAGGTTGTGGGGCCTATTTGCAATGAGAGTGAAAATGAATATTACCTGAGGAGCTTCAATAAACAACAGACTTTATATTATAAAAATATGAACCAATATAAAAACTTAAATACAGTCAGAGTTCTTGCCCAGAACGGAACCATACCGCCAATCCAAACTGTATGCTAATTGTCAATCATCTTTGACGATAGTGGTCCTGACAGAAGTAGGAGAAATGAAGAGTGGATGGCACATTGCATGCATTTGATGGTGGACAGTCACGCTTATAAGAGTTCTTTATGACCTTTCCGATGATTGGGATGAGCGTGGTAAATGGTTGAAACCTTCAGGCACAGAGTACATATTACACACACATTCAAGCTGTAGAAAGGCCTCCCGGTGGCTGTAACTATTGGCAGGTGTGTGGGGGGGACGACTTCCCACCTCTTGCATCAACAGAATGATTTGCACCTACAGTATGGTGCTTTTCAATCCACAGCCCCCTGCTGTGTTTATTAACTCTGCTGCCTGACACTAGTTCTACTTTTGCCTTTAAGTTTAATATATCTGTAGAGTGGGGCATCAAAGTTTGAGGCCATGAGGCAATGCTTATATTTTGTAGTCCTATAATTTAATATTTTTTATGTATCAAGTGAGAGTATCAGCATAAAAAAAATTAAGTAAGGTTGATTTGAAAAATGTATATGAATTGGTATTTAGTTTGCCACCTCTTTGCGTTTACGACATTTCTTTATCATTGTACTTCCTGAGCTTGAAACAGCTCTACTTTGTTTTACCCTGCTAAGCTGTTTTGGGAGCTGAGACCAACAGATGAAACAGCATATCACGCTGTGTCTGTGTGCATTCAGAGGAAGGGGGAAAAACTACACTCAGTTGACTCTTGTCCTCTAATTGTAATACTGATCTGAAGTCATTCCAGTTAGCATGGAAATAAGTTGAGGCTGTCTTGCAGAGTTATGAGATGGGGAGTGACTGGCTGGGGGCCGTGGGGGGTGCACATTGATCTAAAGTCATAAGGAAGTACATTTGAGATGTGCTCTCTCTTACTCACACAAACAACTCCCGCACCCACAGCAATTGTCATTAACAGTGATTATATTTCGGCTAGAGTAAGGCTGTTATCTAGGTCTAGCACTCTTCATGTTTTATGAATATTCAAAATGCTAGAGTATTTGTATTTAAAATAGTTTTTGAAGGTTATTGAATGCTTGTAAAATATTTTTGAAGGTTTTTGAATGTTAGTGGTGTTGGCCCATGCAGAACTTGATGCTCAGGTGTTGGTTTGTGGTTGTCAGGGCGTAGTTGTGTGGTTGCTAAGATATTCGTGGTCCCGCAGTGCTAGGTGGTTGCTATGTTTCAAAATATACAGTTGTCCACAATATTGCTAATATAGATGTTATAATATCTTCACATAACTAAAGCTTAATTTAAATATTTTTGGCCATTTTATGATAATTTTTTATGTAATATATTGTACAAAACAGATAATAAAAAATATGTTTTTCATTTACCCAAAAAAAATTTTTTTTTTATGCAATATATTTTGGCACTTTATAAAAAATGCATAACATTACACAATACCTATTTTCTAAAAGAATGCTACTGATACTATTTTGAATGATTCATTCATGTGTTAAAAAATAAAATATGTTTTCTGACCAAAATATCATAACTCCGTATATTTTGGTGACTATATGGTGACATTTGCTGGACTCTAATCATTTAGTCTGCTTAAGTCCTGCCCCTTTCTCACAACAGACTGCAAGCTCACATTCAGCTCAGCCTCCATTCAATCAACAACCAACTGATTCACCCTACAAATTTTTATTTTTATTTTCAGTGATCAGTTTCACTCTGATGTACATCACGATATGGAAGAAAAAATCGCTACATCTGTTTTTTTTGGCACTATTAATACCAAATAAATCTGCTTTGTTGATAGCTCTGTTTTAATTCAGAGTTTAAAAAAATACATTTGCCTTTAAGCAACTGAAACCAATAGGATGGGATGAGCATGGGAGATTGATAGTGGAGTGAAGGCTCATGGACTAGAGTGAGTTGGTATGAAGGATGAAAGGGCACCTTTCTGTGTTAATGAGGCATTGATTTCCACATCACTAAATAATGAATTCATAAATTAGGTCTAACCATAAAACATTGTAACTGAAATCTGCCCACTCAGGGTGTTTCTATCTTATAAATGAACCATGGAGTTGACCATAAGCATTCTTCAACTAGATCTTGCATTCTCTTGCGCACACACACACACACACACACACAGATTTGTTTTTGTGAAAAGTGGGGACATCCCATAGGCGTAATGGTTTTTATACTGTACAGACCGTATATTCTATTGCCCTACACCAACCCTACCCCTAAACCTACCCCTTACAGGAAACTTTGTGCTATTTCAGATTTTCAATACACTCCATTCTGTGTGATTTATAAGCGTTTTGAAAAGTGGGGGCATGGGGTAATGTCCTGAAAAGTCACCTTCTCCTTGTAATACCTATGTCATACCTTTGTCATTATACAAATCGATGTCCTCATTTGTCACAAAAACGCGCACGCGCACACACACACACACACACACACACACACACACACACACACACAGACATATAAATTAAAAAAACATAAGCAAGGATTCTTGATGCAAAATGCAATGGGGATTGTGTGCAGTCAAAAGTTGTGTTACAGCTACAAAAAGCATTTGGGTATTTGAATATCAAACCAGGTTCCATCTTCAAATGAATTATGCTATCTGTCCATCCATCCATCCATCGTTGTAATTTTTTTTATAAATCTGTCATTCTACCTGAAATGTTTAAGTCAAGTCACCTTTATTTCTGTAGTGCTTTATGCAATGCAGATTATTTATATCTATCTATCTATCTATCTATCTATCTATCTATCTATCTATCTATCTATCTATCTATCTATACATAGTAACATGCACTTTTTCAGAGTATAAAAGAATCGCTGTTACATACTATTATAATACCATTAATGGCATTATTGTATACTTTTGGCCATAATAGACATGGTTACAGCATTTCTGAACCCATAATACCCCAAAATAACGTCTGATTAGGCAGCACACTAGGTTTTTGGCACACAGCCTTATCTAATTTATTACTTTTAATCACCCATAGTTCATGATTTGAACTGTTGGCATGTTCCACCCATATAATATATACGCCTATATTTTAAGCAGTCTGTCTGTTTTTTGATAATTAAAACTTATGTTTGTGAAATATTTAACATGATACATGTTCTTGTACTATATCTGAAATACTTGGTTTGATATTTTATTTAACACCACAGCATTCATACATTTTTAAGTGTGTCTTAAATCCATCCATCGTTGTAATTTTTTTTATAAATCTGTCATTCTACCTGAAATGTTTAAGTCAAGTCACCTTTATTTCTGTAGTGCTTTATGCAATGCAGATTATTTCTATCTATCTATCTATCTATCTATCTATCTATCTATCTATCTATCTATCTATCTATCTATCTATCTATCTATCTATCTATCTATCTATCTATATGTATATGGGCTCTGTATGTAACACCGTGGAAAACAATGAAACTAGAGTGGTCTGGAACCTCTTTCCCTCATTGCTCAGGGGTGTTGAATTACTTTTAGGCACCGCGCAAGTGCGCACCGTATCGCGTAGTGCACCAGAAGAGCGTCTCCAGCGCACGCCGTATGTGTGCACCATTACTTCACCAGTATTTCTGGCAGGCAGATCTAGGGACCTGGGGGATATTGGAACCCTCTCCTCGTTCATTCGCACCCACTCTCCTCCCCACACACCCTGTCGTAGCAGTACAGAAAGCCAACAGTCAGACAGCTGTCGACCTGCGGCTTGAGTCGCGGCGCTACATCACCGATGCCTCGAGAATCCGTCAGCTCCCCCGCGCGCGGACGCACAGCGACTATGTGAAGCAGTGACCGCGAGAATGGACCAAAGGAACTACTTCGCCGTTCTGCTGCTTGTTTTTCATCTTCAACTCACATTTGGGGAGTTCTTTCCAGGCAAGTTTGCATTCTGCTCTGTAGCCTTTTGGCCACTTTGCGGAGGTTGGCGAGCTTTGAATGCCGTAACCCAAGACGGGATGAAACTTTAATAATTGTATCTTGTTTATTAATGACGATGTTCTAACGTTAATGTGGGATGAATACGAATTCCAGAAGATCTGGTGTTGCTTTGTTTATCGTGTATGACTTTTTATAGCCTACTTTTTAATGACGGATCTGTATCGTTATTTACCTCAGTTCTTTCGTGTGTAGACATGGATCTCATTTTGACCTGAAAGATGACTTTAAAAGTATTGTAATACATTGCATTACGTGTATCATATTTAAAATGACTATGTGTTAAGGCTATTCTATGCTCAAGCTGTATATTTATAAATGACACCTCAGACTGGATTTAAAAAAGTTTACTCGGTCAATAATTCATACTTAGTGCGCTCATAATTAAAACAGCTGTTGGTACTTTGTGACTGCGATAATTAATTTGATATTTCTGCGTCTGTCAGCGGTCGGTTCGGGGAACCGTCGAGCACGGCGATTAGATCTTAAATAGTCTCGTATCGAGTGAGGGAATCGGTCACCGTGTCCGTGCCGCTGTGAAATGGCTGCAGTTCATCTCTCCGCCGGAGGGTGGCGCTCTGGGCACATCCAAACCCTGAACCACAGCATCACTGCTTGAATCGTGGGTCGCTGAGAAATTGTCCGGAGAACAGGAAAGATTGATCCGTTTCTTTTGTTTAGGACAGTGGTTCCCAAACCTGTCCTGAAGGACCCCCTGCCCTGCACATTTTGTATGTCTCCCTAATCAGACACCCAATTTAGTTCTTGCAGTCTCTACTAACGAGGTAATGAGTGGAATCAGGTGTGTTAGATAAGGGAGACATACAAAAGGTGCAGGGCAGGGGGGCCTCCAGGACAGGTTTGGGAACCACTGGTTTAGGACATGATAAATATTTTTTTGAAAAGCATATTTTCTTTGTCGTAAATAACCAGAGGCGTTCAAATACACCACATAAAAGCTGAATTATAACAATAATGATAGACTTATAGCTAACTGATAAAGAGGATTTCTGAAAAGAACCAAGCACGTTTTCACGCGTTTGGAAGAACTTATAGCCTGTAAGACAAACTAGAGAACTGTCCATTCTTATTTTACCCGAAAGATTAGAAAAGTCAATTATTTTTCAAACAGCTGTTTCAACGTTTAAACAAAACCAAGAAATTCTAGAAGAAAAAGTCTTGCACATTAAAACTTAATTGATGCCTTAAATTTAAATAAAGTGATACGTTTCTTACACGTGTTCACTTTGAATTTAATTGCTGATGTAGAAAATTGAGCTGAATCTCTGAGAACTCTTACAATTAAGAACAATGGCAGAAATGTAATAAGTTAGATGGATGGAAACCTCTTTATCAATTAGCTATAAGTCTATAATTATTGTTATAATTCAGCTTTTCTGTGTTGCATTTGAACGCCTCGGGTTATTTACGACGATGGGTGATAATTAATAAACTTAATAAACCTAATTAATAAAGAGCATAATTAAACATTTATGCGTAATATACTATTGATTAAAATATTTTTTGTTCTGTTTTTTTAATCATTTATTACAAATAACGTAGAGAAATCCCCATTGTTATCTCAATACCTTTGTTTCCATCCATCTAACTTATTACATTTCTGCCATTGTTCTTAATTGTAAGAGTTCTCAGAGATTCAGCTCAATGTTCTACATCAGCAATTAAATTCAAAGTGAGCAAGTGTAAGAAACGTATCACTTTATTTAAATTTAAGGCATCAATTAAGTTTTAATGTGCAAGACTTTTTCTTCTAGGATTTCTTGGTTTTGTTTAAACGTTGAAACAGCTCTTTGAAAAATAATTGACTTTTCTCGTCTTTCAGGTAAAATAAAAATGGACAGTTCTCTAGTTTGTCTTACAGGCTATAAGTTCTTCCAAACACGTGAACACTTGCTTGGTTCTTTTCAGAAATCAAAGGTATTGATATAACAATGGGGATTTCTCCACGTTATTTCTAAAAAATGATTAAAAACCAGAACAAAAAAATATTTTAATCAATAGTTTATTAAGCATTAAATGTTTAATTATGCTCTTTATTAATTCGGTTTATTAAGTTTATTAATTATCACCCATGCATTGTTTAATAAGTGTTGTTTGTGCGTTTCAGCTTTTGGCTTGAGGTCTATGTGTTAAAGGACTAACACTCAGACAATAAAGTTAATCAACAGACAACCACAATGGACACATATTAAAATAGAACTAGCTAATTTACTCCTGGGCCTTGACTAATAAAACCAGGATCATTTCACAGGACTTGCAGAAATATCTGTAGGCTTTGTTTGTTTGACACATATAATGTGCTGTTGACCTGTTGAGCAAATACGATGTGCTTCTGTTATATCTTTCATGGCTTAACATGTTTATTTAATAAGCCCCCAGACCAGTGTTTTAAAATTGCTTTTAGTGTCATGCCTGTAGCCTGGCTCTTGTTGCGAGGATAATTTGTGTTCCATTCTATCTTTGCTTGTAATTTTGGCAGGGCCAACAAGACTTTCTCTGTGCTTCAGCGAACAGCTTGACAAGTATAGGCCTATCTTTATTCACCAGTCTGAGCAAGGCTATCAACATAAAAAGACACTAACAAAAAAGTACATCTTTTTTTGGATGTGGTTCTATGGTGGTACTGTATTATTCTTTGAAGCAGCATTTACATTCTATGGCATGTGAGCATGGTGGTCATTTAGTGCCGTGATTTATATCAAAGCATCATGGTTTTACTGTCTAATTCCATTATTGTACCATGAGAGCCTCAGGGAAAATGGGACTAAATGCTTCCATCACATTTATTCCGCATATCGATGGACGTCTCTTATACTTTATTGATGTTTACTTCATTTAAAAGCTGTTTTGGTGTGCAACTGGTGCAGTAAGTCTACACGTTTTATGCCTATGGGCGAAGCGGTTGATTTAAAAGTGGCGGTTATCCCATTGAAAGATTTCCATTCGGCATTTAACTGAATATCTTCAGCTGGCAGCAGAAAGACAAAGAGGGAAGACCTGACATGTCTGACTCTCAGCGTTTCTTGTCATCTTCCTGTCATAAGATGTCATGCTTTCAGAACTGTCTTCTCTGTAAAAGTTATCTGTCTTCGTGTGATGAGAATATGAACTTCTGTGGCAATGTACAGTACCAGGATATGAGATGGTAAAACTATGATACTTTGGTATACACTACCAGGTTAAAGGTTTGGATACACCATCATACTTTCTCATTTTTATTATGACTATTTTGCACATTTTAGAACAATCAAAACAATATTATTGTGTTATTTCATTTAGTGTTCCAATGTTTCAGCAAAACGTGTTAAATGTTACATTGCATATTTAAACAGTATTGAATAATTCACATGTGTGTTGGACACTTCTTGACTGCTTTGACTTCTCAAAAAAACAAAACAAAACAAAAAAAATGGTAAAAAAAAGTACAAAAGTAAAAATAAATAAAAAGTATATATTTTTAAAAATAGAAAAAATTTAAAATTTAAACGTATTTATATTTTGTCTTGAAAAGTAATTTTAGGCAAGCAGAAGCCAGCCAAAATGTTTTTAAGATCATGAGAAACAAGAAAAGAGAAAAGTGTGTCCAAACTTTTGACTAGTAGTGTATATTTCGGTACTATATTCAAGTACCATGGTATTACCTTAGTATTTAAATGTACTTCAAAGAATATCATCGTATTACGATTGTACTTTTTGCCACTCTTTTTGTTAATGATAACATAAGCTTGTTTGAGAATGGAGCTTTCTTTCTATAATGTAGTCTTTAATTATTTTAGGCTGTTTAACTTCACCATTTAGATGGCAAAAAGGATTTACCGAACAAAAGAAATAATTCAGTTGTATCAAAAAAAAAAAAAAACATCTGGAAAATTTCTGGGGCCCTGTGATGAAGAGGGCCCTCTATGTTTCTGTGATATAGCTTAAGTTTATTCACTGGAGCCAGAGGGTGAGGCGGCCCACCCATGTAAATTTATCCCCAGGCCCGGTCTGTTTCAGCAGCGGCATAATAATTTATTGCAGGGCCAAGTTAGTTTATCTAACTCAGACGCATCTTTTTTTTTTTTATTTGCCTTGCAGAATTTTCAATTTCATTGAGTTTGCGAGGAGACGCCTATTATTAATAAGAATGATTAATTAAAACTAATGAGAGATCATATACCCTGAGGGAGCTGTGGATTTGTCTCCCTCTCCCTCTCTGTCTGTCTCCTATTCTCTGACAGCTACTCATTTGCAGCTCAGTGAAGTCTCTTATCATCCGCACACTGCCAGACTAATAGCTAATCCAGAAACTGCCAGACTTCTGGATAATCCAGTTCACCCAGTGTGTGTTTCTTGGGGCTTCTAGATTAATTTTCATATCCTTGAGCATGAGGCATTTAGGAATTAATATATACCTCTTTTTGCACAATGTTGCTTCTTTTCTAATATTTTCTGTTCATCTTTCCCTGATGTCTTTCTGAAGGACTGACTGTGTTTCTTTGAGTGTTTACCGCTGTAGTTGAGGGGATTCACTTATTGCATTCACTTATTATTTTTATGCATTTAACCCTCGTACCTTTGAATGGATTGTATATATGTTTATGAATTCATATGCAGTCATATGATTATTATTTCAAAATGTCTTAATAAGATCCATTGTTTTTATGGAACCCTCAAGTATAGATCAAGAGCAGGTCATAAATCTTTTTCAGGCTGTCACCCCCTACATTTTATATAATAGAATAGAATGACAAACAACTAAGGTAGTCTGGCAATTATCTCAAACCAATTTGTGTGTGTGTATATATATATATATATATATATATATATATACACACACACACACACACACACACACACACAAATACACACAAATACACACAAATATATACACACACACACACACATATACACGCGCACACACACACACACACACACAC